ACAGTGCTGTCATAAAAGGAACCAAGGGACCTCATGTGTAAAGTCAGGTAAAGTTACAAAGTAGTCCTGAGGGACTTTCTGAAGAAAAACACGAGCCTCTAGATGCTCTGGTCTTTTGTGGATCAAGAGAAATATGTACCACTGTTAAACTAATTTACTCTCTGACAGCATTTTCATGCATCTGTACAGATTAGACCAAATGTGCTTTCTGGAAGTGCCAGCTCTGCTTTGTTCCTCAAAATGTTCCCAAACTAGAGCACAATACTAATAATACTCTTGGCAGTTTCACTACTACTCAAAATGTTCTAAATAACATGAAGAAGTGGCTATAACCTGAATATTCTCATTTATTTTAGTGCTTAAGAAAAGCTGCAAACCCTTCACCATTACAACTACCTGAAAGGAAGAGGTAGGTGAGGTGGGAGCTGGTCTCTTATCTCAAATAACAAATGATGGGACAAGGTGAAATGGCTTCAAGTTGTGCCAGGAGAGGTTGGATATTAAGAAAATTTCTTCACTGAAAAAATTGTCAAACACTGGAACAGGCTGCCCTGCTCCTGGGTGGAATCACCATCCCAGGGGGGATTTAAAAGACATACATGTAGATGTGACACAGTTTAGTGGTGGGCTTAAGAGTATTGGGTTGGGCTTGATAATTTTACACGTCTTTTCCAACCTAAATTATTTTATTTTTCCCTATATCTAGCAAATTCTAATTATTAAATGATTACACAATAAAAGCAGTGTCTAGACTAAAAAAGCTGATTTTTTAAAATTATGCAGGAATTTAGTACTATACTTCCCCTACTGACAAGAAAAAAAAGGTCCATTTTCCAATGGGGAATTCATTCCTTCTATTTATCCCTAAAATCCTGTACTAGTATCAGTGGTGGGCACTAATGTAGTATTCTAAATTATCCTATATAATCTAGATTCACAAAGAAATGACACCACTAAGTATGCTTTACTTATATTCTCAGCTAAAAAACTGGGTTTACCTGCAGTGGAAAAATAAAACTGCATGCAAACACTTAAGTTGGTTGCTAAAGCACAAAACTCTTTCTCCAGTTTTGCCAATATTTCAACATCATCACATGAGTAATTTGTAAGCCAAAGGTTTGTTTCTCTATTCTCTGTGTAGCTTTTCAACCCCTTTTGCCTAAGAAGTGTGCTGCCAGAGACCATATATCCATCATATTAAATAAGAATTACTGGATACCAGACTTCTGAGCCCCTGTGACACTTTTTGTGTGTCAAGGATCAACGATGGAAAAAACTGAACAAAATCTACAATAAAAATGAAATTTAAACACCAAGACCACATAGACAAGAAACCTCAACACCCCTCTCCCCCCCTAAAAAGCTAGCCACAAACTGCATAGCCTGGCTCAACACAATCATATACCCATAATAAAGATCTCTTGTGCTGCTTCTAGAGAACCTAGAGAACAATTTTCTGGTCTAAGTGACAAGTGACTGCCCACTAGAAAGGAAAAAAAATAGTCCTTATTTACTTTCAAAAAAACTTATCGACAGAACTTGAAAAACACAATTCCTCTGGAAAAAAAAAAAAAAAAAAAACACAAAAAACTTCTACTGTTAAGGAACGAGAAATAGCAACAATTTCAACTTCGACAACATTTCACATATTCACTTGGAATAAGAAAACGCGCGACTCTCCCAGCGCTGGCAGCAGCAGAGCCCAGCCCCAGCCCTTCCTGCCCTGCAGCCCCCGGGGACAGCGCAGGTGCCGCAGCCCCGGCGGCTTCCCCGGCACACGGCGCAGCTCGGGAGGCCGAGGGCAGCCGGGAACCCGAGTCCCTCCGCCCGGCAGCGCAGCCCCGTCCCGCCCCATCGCTCCCCTGCCCTGCCGGCCCCGCTCCATCGCTCCCCTGCCCTGCCCTGCCCTGCCGGCCCCGCTCCATCGCTCCCCTGCCCTGCCGGCCCCGCTCCATCGCTCCCCTGCCCTGCCCTGCCCTGCCGGCCCCGCTCACCGCGGCCCCGCTCAGCCGCTCCGGCGCTCCGGCGCTCCGCGGCCGGGAAGGGCGCAGGTGGCACCGCCCGCCCCTGGCCGAGGGCGGGGAGCGGCCCGGCCCCGCCGCCGGTTTCTATTTCGGTTTCCCGGCAAGAGCGAGCGCTGCGCTGTCCCAGCCCGGCCTCAAGCCCGGCCAGCGACCGCCTCCCGCTCCGGCCGCGGCGTCGCCCGGTGGCAATGGCTTGTGCTCGGCGGTGGCATCGGGAAACCCCTGTCCTGCCACCTCATGTTTCCGTGCGCACCTAGAGGGCGTCCACCAGCGTCCTACGAGTTTGAACGTTGTCTGAATCAAACTTCGGCCGGCTGACACGCGGGTGGAATTTAGGACAACGACGTGAAGAATTTCTTAGTGGCAGTAGTATTAAAATACTTACTACTGTGAGTTGGGTAATTGCTAAACTTGGATACGACTACTTTTTATTTCTTCCATAAGGAAGTAATTATTGCAAAACTGTGCTGCCAGTAGCGCCTCTTCAGCCAGTTTGTTTTTAAGGAGACAAGTAGCATCTTTAACAAAACCAGCTGCCACAGCACTAGGAGCTGATGAGTTGAATCCGTCCTTGAGACGGATTTTCGATTCATTATCTGCAGTGTAATCACTATTTGCTTACTGAAGTCAATGGCAAAACTATCATTATAAAGTTTCAGGACAAACATTCACCTCAGGCTTCATTGTTTATTAGTAGTTCATACAACCCCTTTTCTCTTTGTGTTATCAAGATATCCTGACTCCCTTGTTTAAATGGTTTATGTTTGCTACCTCTCCTGGGACATTCACAATTGTCCAAAGTATGTCACAAATGACATTCCGAAATGTGCAAGAGTTTAGACTCACTATAGGACTTTCTTTTCCTTAGCATCATAACTATGTATATGGAACTCTGCTAGCAGGGTTAACCTTTGCTCATACCGGTTTCTTTCCCAGACTATACAGATGTTAAATACATCGGCAAGCCTCCATAAGGAAAGAGGTGTCTTCTTTGTTGAGTTTGACCTTGTTCAATTGCACCACCCAGTGCATTTGCTTAAAAAAAAAAAAACCACACACACAAAAAAAAAAAAAAAAAAAAAACAAACCTGTGGAAAAAAAAAGGCAAGAAGGCTGAAGATGATTATAGGAAAAAGAAAAAAAAAAAAGAGAGGAAGGACTGAAGAATAAATTAGGCTGTAGGAGAGGCCAGACCAAGGAGAGGGCGGACTTGGCAGCACCTTGAAAGTGGGAGGTTAAGGAGGGTGAGTAACACATCCTTAACGTGCAGCAGCTCTCACGCTAGGGTACTTTGAGTATCCTCTTTCAGGAACTTGCTTGCGCTATTAATTTTTCCAAACCCACAATTAATTTTAATGAAACCCTTTTCTATTTTTAGACCAACTTCAAAGAGGGAATGAGGAGGAGGTCTTCTCTCCACATCAATGAATTAGGCAGAACAAGTCTTAGGTTTCCAGAGGAAACTCGGCATGGAGAGATGGAGGAAACAAAAGGTTGTACTCCATGGCATGCATAAGTAGGATATAAACTGAAATGCTGGATTTTGAAAGCAATCTACTCTTTGTCTTAATGACATCCTAGAATACAAAACCAAAATAATTAGGTCATAGCAATTACTTACAGACACTGACTTCCTGGGAGGCTGCCACAAGTATATACAGCACTAGACTGAAGACCTACTAATACACAAAGTGCCCTAACATACACCACAGATGTGCCCACAAGTTTTACATTAATGTTTTTAAAAACCAAAGAAAATGACATTTTCTTCAGTACATGCCTGGGGAACTATGCTGCAGACCAATGACTGCTTGCTGGGTGCCCTGCAGCTCTCTGCCCCAACCACCTCATTTCTGATCCCACATGCTGCTGTTGCTGCAGTACCTCTGCCTTCGCAGGCCTGGTCCAGGACCAGACAAATAGAATCACAAAATCAGTTAGGTTGGAAAAGACCTCTTGGATCATCAAGTCCAACCTATAACCACACACTACCATGTCAACTACACCATGGCACTGAGTGCCATGTCCATTATTTCCTTAAATACCTCCAGGGATGGTAACTCCACCATCTCCCTGGCAGCCCATTCCAATGTCTAATCCCAACTTCTGTGAATAAATTCTTCCTAATATCCAACCTAAAACTACCCTGGCCTATCCTAAGCCTATGCTCTCTTGTCCTGTCAGTGGTTCTCTGAGAGAAGAAGCTGACCTGGCTACAACCTCCTTTTCTTCAAACTAAGCAACCCAGCTCCCTCACCCATTCCTCACATGGCTCATTCTCCAGACCCTTTCTCAGCTCTGTTCCCTTCTCTGGACTCACTCCAGCACCTCAATGTCCTTCCTGAATTGAGGGGCCCAGAAGTGGGGAAACTGAGGCACACTCAAGGTGTGGCTTCATCAGTGCTAAGTACACTTCCCTAGCCCCACTGGACAGCACTGCTGATACAGGCCAAAGGTTTTTACTCCCCTTTTTTATGTCATTCTGCCAAAACCTACATTAGACCGGCATCACCTTGTCCATCTGACCCTTCAGATTCACCCCCATGCCCACCCTCCATCTCCTCCAGCTTGAACAGCTCAAGTGACCTCAACCGCTCCTTTCAAGTCTTCTCCTCAAGGCCCTTCATCATCTTCGTTGCCCTCCTTTGGATGCTCACTAAAAGCTTTATATCCTCCTTACACTGCGGTGCCCAAACCTGCACACAGGCCTCAGGGGGCGGAGCAGCGCGGGACAATCCCTGGCTGGCCATGCTGTGCCTGCTGCCCCCCAGGACAGGGTGTCCCCCCGGCGCCAGGGCACACTGCTGGCGGCTGTTTGCTCCGTGTGCCCGAGCAGGCAGCCGCCCTTTCCGCGGGCTGCCCGGCTCTGGCTGCCTCCATAGAGCGCCGAACGCCGCGGGCACCGGCCCTGCCCTGCGCGCACGGAGCGGGCTGAGCCGCGCCGGCCGCCGTGGAGCGCGGCGCCTGCGCAGAGCGGCGCGGGCTGCGGCCATGGCGCTGAGCGCGGCGGGCCCGGCGCTGGCGCTGCTGCGGCGCCGCCTGCGGCCCCCCGGGCCCGGCGCCCGCGGGCACGCCCGGAGCGGCCGCTCCGCCGCGCGGCCCGCGGCCCTGGAGCCGGGGCAAGGTAGGCACGGGTCGGGCCGCGGGGAGGGGAGCGCCCGCCTGCCCCGCTCGGCCCCACCTGACCGCGGCCCCGGCGTGAGGAGCCCCGCGGGGCCCGGGCAGTGAGGTCCGGCTGTGCCGTCTGGGGCTGCAGCCCAGCGGGCCAGAGTCCGCTGTCAGCGCCGGGACGCGCGGTGTTAAATTCCAGCTAGAGGTGAATCAAGTGAGGGGCTCATCCCGAGGAACGCCCTTAAAAAGGCATAGGAAGCGTGTGACTCGCGCTGTGTCTTTAGAAAAAGAACTAGTGAGGGATATCTATTGCTGCTGTGCATCCGTGCCATGCTCAAGACTGTGCAAAGGACAGCAGAGCCAGAAGAAGTTGTGAGGTCACATAATCTGTAGTGGCTAAGCATGTACAGGCAGTAAATCAGGCAGAAATCACAGCCATTCTGGCTTAATGCAGACTTCCTGGTCCATGTCACTTATCCATGAGACTTGTCTTCTATGCATCTTGGTCACTTCATCCTTCTCTGTTTCCATGGAAACTGGTATTTATCATCTTCATAAAGTGCTTCCTTAGTCTTCTGATAAAAAATTCTGGTATAAAACTTGGCCGTTGAAAGAGCTACTGTGGTTATTATTTACAACAGTAAATAATACTGTGAGAGCTCAGTAAAGTTATAAAATGAATTTTTTTTTAAATTAAATGCTATCAAGCAATACTGTCAGCTATCATGTAATGATACTTAGTTTTTTTGAGGCCACAATATCCCATGGGTTCTTCAAAACCAAAAACAGAATAAAGAGCTCTCTACTGAATATCCCTGTGGCAGATGGTAGCTGCTGGGAAATGCTTCCCAGCTTCCCAATCCAAATGCCAAAAGGGAAGAATTAACAGGCAACAGCTTCATAGGCTGTACTGATGTGATGTGGTCAGTGGATCAGTTTGAAAGCTATGCAGGGAAGTGATCATGATTTCAGGTTTGGGAGATGGCCCCCTTGCCTGTATGCAAAGAGGGAAACAAGTTCCATGTTTCTGGATGTTCAGCATGTCTTGATTCCATGTGAATTCTGGAGGCTGTCAGCAGCAGTACAGATTGCCAGTAGTGTGACGAGATATGACTGGTCTGTGGGTTTATTGTACTAGAGTAGATGAAAGTGTATTATTAAGTGAAAATTTTGCGTAGGCGTTTACCGTAAAGGATGCTGCTGAGTTGTAAAAATAGCAAGTGTTGAATTGTTCCAAAGTGCTGGTTTTGTGGTAGTTCAGAGAGACTGTCATTTCAGTGAGGCTTGCCAAAGGTCTAATCCTGCCTCACAGCGTAGCTGGCATTTCCTGACTCATATGTGTGCTAAGGTTTTTGATGGTGAGCAACAAATTAAAGAACAAAAGATTATTTGTATTATGAAGCTTCCTGTGCACCAAGGGAAGTCAGTTTTGTTTTCTTCCTACCTTTCCTACTCCTTGTTACTACAAATGTATGCACTTGTGAGAGAAATGCACTTACATTTCTTTCTTTCATTCATTCTTCATTGTCCTTCATTCATTCTTCATTCTTTTCGTTTTTGCTGTCATGATCTTGGAAAGCCAGGACAAACCTTTGTTCAGTTGTTCAATCCAGAGAAAGAGATCAAGTGTACTAAAACCAGCCATACATCTTTCTGTTTATGTAGAAAAGCCTTGATGCTTGTTTCTTCTCACAGATGCTGAAGTCGGTACCAGAAAGAAGACATTTGCTGAAGTCCAAACAGAACGACTGAATCAAGCTGAACGGACTGTTTTAATTAAGTGCCCATCAAAACTTAATCAAAAAAAATTATTGCAGTACTTAGCCAGTCATGGGAATATTAAGAGTCATTTCTTTTTTGAAAATCGTGTAAGTAATTAATGATGTAAGCTAAAATCTAGACCTAGATGAAAAGAAGTACCAGAAAGAAGATTTGGTTAAGGTCTCATACATAAGTTAAGCTAATGATATAGACTTAATGTATTAAATCAGTTTTTATCTGTGCTAATGTTCACAAGTTGCTGAGCCGTTGATTTTTATTCATAAGTCAGCTAAGCAACACCTCTAAGGAATAGCCAGCAACCTGTTTTGCACTAAATCTTTGAAACTTTCATATAGCACCATTCATTGTTCTGACAATAGAGATAGCTCTTTTTTTTGTGTTTCTGGAATATTTCAGTTGTGGAGATGAATATAGTTCAGAACTTTTCTGTTTAGTGGTTGCTGTCAAGAATAGCAGATCTTAAATAATCTCTTGTGAAAAATCATCTAAAATGGTTTGAGATATGGAACCTAGCATTTGGCTTCAGGGCTGTCATATTAATGTCTCAGGAGCCCCAGGAACATCTGAGTAGTATCAGTACAATGAGTTCAAGCATTGTATGCATTTATCTCACCCTGTATTTCCATTCTTAATGTTTTAGGGCATCAGTGCTTTAGTAGAGTTTTCAGAAAAGAGCAGTATAGCCTCGTTGCAGGATGCTGTTGGGATCCCAAGTGCTTCAGAGCATCATGTTGTCCCATTTAAATCAAGACTTTTTACTTTCACATTGAAAAACCCAGTGAGTCAACATGTTGAAGACACACCACTTCACCTCTCTCCTCAGTGTCACATTCCAGTGAAAGACCTTATTGAAAAGCTTTGTCTTGCAGACAGTGTAAGTAGAGGTTTCTAGATCTCTCTTAATTAAAAATAAGGTAGATTCATTCCAGGATTTGCAAGTGGTCACGTGAAACTTATAAAACTGTTTATTTTTATTTTAAAAGGTAACATAAACATTTTATGTGAGTGGTTCTACATTGAAGTAAATAAATGAAATTATTCAATTTAATTATGAAAATAATTTCTCTGTATGAAAGAAACCTTTTTGAAGGTTTGAAAAATAACTTTCTAATTGCATTGATATTAAATAGATGAAAATATATGTTAATAGAAGATGGGTCATTGTATATTTACAGTGTTTATTTTCTGAACTAGATAAGCACTCAGATGTACATTCTACTGAATGAGTATCAGCTTACAGAAGAAAACATCAAGCTGCGATTTCTGGCATGTTCTTTGGTTCGGGATTTTGCCCGTGCATATTTCCCTGACAGCACGGTAAAGCCGTTTGGCTCTTCAGTCAACACATTTGGCAAACTGGGATCTGATGTGGACATGTTTTTGGACTTCTGTGATACAGGAAAGCATGCTACAAAAATGGTAAGGTTGTACTGTGCATCTTCAGTTTGCTGGGTTTCTTCAACAGAGGAGCTCATTTGCTGTTTCACACACAGGAATCAGTTTATTTTTATTTAGGTTTTAAGTGGGCTCATACTATAAAGTATGAACAAGTTTATTTGACTGTTTGGATCTGAAGGCACTCAAAAACTGAATGTGACTTGAAGGTGATGTTCTTTGCAATAGGAAGAAAATGACTTGGTGTTTACATAAATTTTGCACTATTAGGGTGAATTTCGCTATGAAGAAAACCCTCATCCTCCAAAATTGTTTCAGCAGAGTCAGACCTTCCCATCCTATTGTCAGGTTTTCTTCTCTGTAGCTTCAGTGCCTCAGCCATGCTCTGTTAAAGCTTGGCTTTGTTTTTTAGGGTCCTCTGTGTCCTAAAGCACAGTAAGTTTGTGCATGTGTGCACATCTGCATTTTGGGAGGATTGTAATTTTCTTTTCCTTACCTTAAAGATACGACTTTATACTCCAGGAAAGATTATGTACTGGGGTGTATATATATTTATAGGCACATACTGAGTGTGGGCAGGTGTGAAAGCTCAGGGCGTGGGATAGTCATGGTGAATACTTACAAGTTACAGAATTCACTTGAATAATCAAGTAAATGATTCTCATGTTGTGAAAACTTTCCTTTTTACTTGTGTGGTGACAGATAGTTTGGGAAAAAATGTTTAAGCTGTTGGGAAAAACTGTTTAAGTTTGGGAAAAAAGTTTAATCCCATTGTTTTCCTTAGAAGACAACGGGCTTAAAGTTTTGAAGATTGAAAATTCTCTCAGTTTTTCTGTACAATTTGCATATTGCCGTGTAGGTTACTTTTAAAGAAATAATCCTTCAAATGTATACAGTTTTCAGTATTACGGCAGTGATATATCACAGTGAAAGCAAAATATGTCAGCTGAAGAGAAGGATTGTCATGTGTGTGTGAAGTGCTGTAATCTTTATGTTTAATCAGTGAAGTTGCCTCTTAAATTTTAAAGGAATAACAGTTCAAGTATGAAATGTCTATTTTCAAAGCATGTTTGGTAACTTAGCTGTTTTCTTTAGTATGTATCCTTTGTGGAGATAGAAGTTCTTCTGTGAAATGTAAAGTATTTGATGATGGGTGAGTTTACTAGCAGCTGTGAATTCATTTGTGAATGGTTGAGAGACTTGTTACTCTGGGGAGACAAAGGGGAGGTAGCTTTAGTTACAAGGTGATTTAGCAGCAGTGGAAAAGGTATGTTCTGATTTCTTCACTTCCTTAGCCTTTCAGGAGCTGCCAGCAGTGAGGAGGATCAGGCATTTCAGCACCTATTTACATGAAATAACTCTTTTTGAGCCTTGTGGCTGGTGACTAATTGTAATTTAAGAAAAGGGGCAGAAGTGGGAACATTCTTTACCAAGAGTGAATGCTAGACTGCAGATAGGGCATTTTTAACCCCGGGCAGTTTGGGAGATTCGTGAATGAGTTAAAAAGCGGGGCTCTGTGATATTTTAGAGTAGCAGTTTTTGTTAAACTGTTGTGCTTCTTGCTTAGGTTACTGTATCAGTTTACTGAAAAGTAACTGTTTATTTTTAATTATAGTAATAGTTTCATATTTGTTTCTATCTACATGACAGGAACTGGGGAAGAGCCACAGGATTGGGACAAATGTATCAGTACTTCATACCCACTAGCTAGCACCAAAGCTGTATATGAAGGTTCATTTAATTGCAAAGAATATCTACTTTCTACTATCTTCACTAAGTTTTTAAGAACTAGTGAGGTGCTGTCTGGAAATGCCCATTGTGGTTTTTGTCACAAATATAAATATCAACACCAGGCCACCTACAGGTGATTACCCATCTTTGTCTTTCCTGTTAACTGCCTCAATGTTGATAGTTACAGGCTCTTTTCACGTAGAGCCAGCCCTGCCGTAGCATGCAGCCAGATGGGATTAGGGACTGCTGTCCTGGCATGTTCCACCACACGAGCTGCTGGCAGGAGAGCTGCTGGCAGGAGGGGAGCAGGAACATCACCTTGGTGATTGCCAGAGAGACTCAGAAATTCAGCCCCTGAACTGCCCTTATGGGAAGGGCTGCAGGGTCCATAACTTCTGAATTGTTTCACCTGTCTGTGAGGTCACTGATTTGTGGATAACAGAAATAATGTACTTGGTATCTCAGTTACTGTTACATCACTGTAATTTTATTTGTACAGTATGCATTCACCCATGACATGTTCCAAGGGGGAGGATAAATCAGTGTCAAGTATAGGATTAGCAAATAAAATTAGCTGATGTCTTAAAAACACAAGACTATTACCAGAACAGAGATTTCACAGATATTTTATTGAGGTAAAAACTACAAATATGGTAAATCAAAATACGAAGACCTACAGAGAAAATAATTTCTGATGTTAGAATATATCTTCATAATATTTTTGTCTTTTAGGAAAGACAAAAAAAAAATTGCATAAAGTAATTTTTTTAAGTCTTCCAGAATGATATCTTAATTTTGAACAATTTAAGTAATTTGCATGCTAAATTTTTTGACTTTTTTAAATGAAAAAGGCATTTTTTCTTACACTGGTACTTGATTTATTATTAATGCATTGTTCTTTGATGATTTCACATGGAATTACCGACAGTTTGAAATTATTGATAGTTTGGTTGTGTTGCCCCTCTGTAACTGTATGCTCCTGTTTGCAGTCAGAGCACTTATGCTCTCCTGGTAATTCCAGAACTATGTTTTTTGCCAGTAATTAGATGTATACTTCTGTTTGAACATGTAGATTTATAGTAAGTTGATCACTATTAGCCTGGAAAAGTTGAATCACCAGAAAAGGATGTAAAAGAGAGAGCAATATGTTTTCACCTATTTAACGTTGGGTGGACTGCTTTGAATAATTCTTGTCTTTCAGTTCTAGTTGTACAAACTCCTTTGCAAATTGTGGTGGTCTGTCAGAAGTATTTTTAAATGTCTTTTGTTGGAGAGCTAACAGCTTGCTTTTAAAATTCTGTGTTAGAAAAAAGGTCCATTTGAAATGGAGTATCAGATGAAGAGATTACCATCAGAAAGATTAGCAACTCAGAGGATTCTTTCTGTGATTGGTGACTGCCTCGATAATTTTGGTCCCGGGTGTGTGAATGTACAGAAGATCCTCAATGCCCGCTGCCCTCTGGTGAAATTTTCCCATCAGCCAACAGGATTCCAGTGTGATCTGTCAGTGAGCAACAGGTGAGACCTGGTTTTAAAAAGTTTGTAGAGAATTCTGATGTACTTAAAGTGCTCTGAAAACCTGTAATATCAACTCTTTACTCCTCTCTTTTCTGTGTTCTTAGCAAATGTGAATGTTGCTCTGGAAGTAAAAAGGATATTTTTTGACTTCTAGAGGTTAGAGTTTGATGTCCTTAAGTTGTCTTTCTCCAGCCTAGGAAATACTTGCTAGCTGAAGCGGAAGCCTCAAAAACCAGTTTATAGAAGAAGGTCGGCTTACAAAACAGGAAAGAAGGCAGTCAGTGTTCATTAGTCATTACTTCCCCTCTGCATATGCACAGCCTTTCTTGATTGCTTTTCAGATTAAGCAGCTCCGGAATCTTAATTTTTAGGGATTTTGCTTTTAGGTTTTTTTGTGTCCTTTCTTTCTTCTTAAGAGCCTGCATAGCCCTGTTTGCTGGGAAGATGCCCTGGATGCCGAGTGAATTCCCCGCGTCGGGAAGGGGAAGGGGAAGGGAGCCTGCGGTGTTCCCGCCGCGCGGGGCCGCTCGCAGCGCTGCCCGCTAGGGGGCGCCGGCTGCCCAGGAATGCCCCGCGGTGCCGGCCCGGCACAGCCGCGGCTCTGCTGCCCCTCTGCTGCCCCTCCTGGGCTCTGCTGCCCCTCTGCTGTCCCTCCTGCGGCTCTGCTGCCCCTCCGCTGCCCCTCCTGGGCTCTGCTGCTGCCCTTCTGCTGCCCCTCTGCTGCCCCTCCTGGGCTCTGCTGCTGCCCCTCCTGTGGCCCTGCTGCTGTCCCTCCTGTGGCTCTGCTGCCCCTCCTGTGGCTCTGCTGCTGCCACTCCTGCAGCTCTGCTGCCCCTCCGCTGCCCCTCCTGGGCTCTGCTGCCCCTCCTGCGGCTCTGCTGCCCCACTGCTGCCCCTCCTGGGCTCTGCTGCCCCTCCGCTGCCCCTCCTGGGCCCCTCCGCTGCCCCTCCTGGGCCCCTCTGCTGCCCCTCCTGCAGCTCTGCTGCCCCTCCTGCAGCCCTGCTGCTGCCCCTCCTGCGGCTCTGCTGCTGCCACTCCTGCAGCTCTGCTGCCCCTCCGCTGCCCCTCCTGGGCTCTGCTGCCCCTCCTGCGGCTCTGCTGCCCCTCCTGCGGCTCTGCTGCTGCCACTCCTGCAGCTCTGCTGCCTCTCTGCTGCCCCTCCTGCGGCTCTGCTGCTGCCCCTCCTGCGGCTCTGCTGCCCCTCCTGCGGCTCTGCTGCCCCTCCTGCGGCTCTGCTGCCCCTCCTGCGGCTCTGCTGCCCCGCGGTTTTGGCAGAAAGAACCCCCTCACGGCAGTAAACAGCTCTGGCATAAGTATGCAGAGCCGAAAATGAGTTAGTGGCCCTTTTCATTGTTGTTGGAGAAAACAAAAATATGAGTGATTATTCTTCAGGATAAAAGTGACAGGACCCAAGGGAATGGCCTGAAGTTGTGTCTGGGGAGATCTAGGCTGGATATAAGGAAAAGGTATTTCAGAGGGTGGTTGGGCACTGGAACAGGCTCACCAGGGAAGTGGTCACAGCACAGAGCCTGATAGAGTTCAAGAGGCTTTTGACAATGCTCTCAGTACATGGTGTGACTCTTGGGGCTGTCCTGTCCAGGGCCAGGAGTTGGACTTTGATGATCCTTGTGGGTCCCTTCCAACTCAGATTATTTTGTGTTCCTGCGATACGAGTTTTAGTGCAGTTTTGTGATTTGTCTGTATTACATACAGTCAGATCTGATACACTCAGTTTTCTGAATTACTCAAAGATCTGTTTCAGAATATGCAGGAGTTGTTAAGGCAATATTGAACAAGTTTCTTACAATGAAATTACTTCTCTATATTGCAGTCACAGTGAAAGTCAGCATGTAGTTCTGTACAAGCTTCCTTATAACTCACTGCTGATAGTTCAGCTGGTTGGGACTGCACGTCGTCTTGTTATCATTTTTACTAGAAACAAATCTTTCTGGACACTGTAAAGCACCTCACAGCTGAAATTTAAGAAGCCTAGGTGTTACAAAATTTTGACCTAGTAAATGTCCCCAAAAGGCTATGCTGAATTTTTAGCACTTCAGGCTAAAACTGAACCAAAGTAAGTTTTGCTTTCATACTGTACTTCCATTTTTTTTCTACTTTTTCTTGCCCTCCCATTTGTACAATGCATGAATGTTTGTATAACATTGTGATAAAGGAGGTCAAAAGCTGATCCATCTGAAAACCTTTATCCTTCCAGATTAGTTGTTTTTATTCAGCTCGACTAAGCAGTAATCATTTGAAAATTAACAAACTGACTTGTTTTGTGGATTTCATTGTATCTCTGCACTTAGATTATTTTTCAGTGCAGCATTTTACTACTTTTTAGATAAAAGTAATAAAATAAGTTCTAGTTGTATTTTATGATATGCTAGGCTAGAGATATTATCTAACATACCAAAGGCACTTGTGGCTGGATTATTTTTTTTCACCTCAGTTCTGCATATTTTGAATTCACAGTACTTGATGGTGTTTTCTTTATTTTGGGGTTTTATCCTCCCACTGTGATGTGGTTTGAGGAAACAGGAAACAGTGCAAATGCCTATTATTGACCCAGAACTGTATCATTCTTGCTAGGAAAAACTACCAGGTATTTAATACTGGATAATTCCAGGCATTCCAACTCAAACCCTTCTACTATTCTGTGATTCTCTTCTATTTTTTAAAATATATAAAAGTTTGGGGTTTTTTTATGAAAGTCCCCTTCTCTTATAATGAACAATGAATGCTGCATCTGATACTTTATAATTCTCTCATCATTTACACATCTTCCCATTTCTTCTTCAGCATTGCAACAAGAAGTTCAGAGCTGTTGTATATCTATGGCTGTCTGGATTCCCGTGTACGAGCGTTGGTGTTCACTGTGCGCTGCTGGGCCCGTGTCCATGGGCTCACAAACAGTGCTCCTGGTACCTGGATTACAAACTTCTCCCTGACCATGATGGTCATGTTTTTTCTGCAGAGGAGATCGCCACCTATCATTCCAACACTAGACCAGCTTAAAGAACTAGCAGGTAAGCACAGCTGTTTGTGTTTATTGCAGTTTATTGTACATTTGTTTTATCTAAAGTGATAAATAAACCCAAGCAATTTCTTTATGCTCTCAAATAGTAATGAATATTATCTGTGTTTTAAGTTTGAGGGAATACACACATTTTACATGTATTTTTTAGTGAAAATAGCACATCTTTAAAGGCACAATAAATCCCTTTTCAATACAATACCAATTCAATTTAGAGGGGTTAGACTTATTCTGTCCCTTAGATAATTGAATGTAATTTACTTGTTCAGTGCTCCTATGCTGAATTTTTTTTTTTTTTTTGTTATTTCAAAGACTTGTAGGGTCTTGAATGTTTCTGGAGTTAAGGATTTTTTGCAGACTGATATGATGTGTATTGTTTTATAGCTACCAAATGCTTAAAAGAAAGACTGTGTTTTCTACTCCTAATTTGTAATATCCTTGAGACTGTTCAGGCCCTTTGCAAATAATTATTGTATCTCCAAAAATAAGCTGTACTGGAGGTTCCTTACACAGTATTCAGGATGTGTTATCTTCAGTGAATTGTATGAAAACATTGAGAATGACACCCCAAGTTCTTGATTCCTTACTCATGTCTTCTGCTTATTGACATGATTCCTTGGAAGCTCTGAGTGCTTGAAGGGGAGAAAAAGGTCTTTGTTTAGTTGCTTTAAAATAATTTTAACCATTTCCATCAGAATTCTGTAGAAATGTTTAAACATAAAACATGTGTTCGGATATTTACAAGAGTGTTCCTAGTTCTGTGAAGTTTTTCAGAAAAAGACAGTGAACGCTCTGGGTCTGATTTTTTTTAAACCCTCATGTAGGTAACCTCAGGGAGTTGTGCTGTTAAGTGTGTAATACAGCCTCTATGCAAAGATACCCTGTTTGTAACTTACAAGTATTTTCAGAGATACAAAGATGTCATTTTTCTTAGTCCTGTAGGATTTTAAAAATGTGTCATTTGCTCATGATGCTTTTCCTTTGCCCATCTATGGACTTTTTTCTTTTAAATCTTCTGTCACTTAATTTGAATCTTAACCTAAAAGTTCACTTCTGAACTCCTAATTTGATTTGTGTAATATGGTAGCATTGATTTCAGTTTGTTATATGAATTTTATTAAATACAATGGCATTTTACTGTTTCTTACTTCAAAATATGTCCACAATTTTTCTTTCAGATGAAAAAGACAAGCACATAATTGGAGGATATGATTGCTCATTTGTTAGTGATTTAAGGAAGATTAAACCTACAAAAAACACAGAAACACTTGGTAGGTAGATCTTCATAAATTTTGTTTATTTTATGACCACATTGAAAACAAACTTTTCCTTAATGTTACTAATGGCTCTTGTTTTTCTTTCCCCTTAGATGTATTGTTGGGCGAGTTTTTTGAATATTTTGGAAACTTTGATTTCAGAAAGAATTCCCTAAATCTTCGAAAGGTAAATGGATTTTAATTGCTCATCAATATCAGTTGAATCTCTCTGTCTGTCATTTGACAAATGCATATGCTAAGCAATAATTTCTGTCATCTTTAATTATATATAAAAAAACATTTATATGGAAACAGAGTTCTTTCTTGTGAAGAAGGACTGTTTTCCTCTTGGAGCCCAGTAACTTGCAATTACATTGATAACATTTACAGTGTCATTACTTGGATATGTTGGAAAGCAGAAACTGTTGCAAAGCTAGTGTGATTTCAATGAAAAGCCCTGTAATAAAAGTGGCAGTTTTAAAAAGTCAAAGCTCTTTTGCTTCTGTGGGAGGAAAGCTTTTAAAATGTCATGATGTCTGTCATAGCAAAAGTCTGCGACAAACCCTGTGCGCTGACAATATTCACATTTAAAGTTGGGAGTCCATACCCAACTAGAGCCTACATTAAAATTTACAGCTGAGTTTTGGGTATGATTTTGACACTGCAGTTTTCTGCTGCAGTTTGTATTGCCTTCAGTATCTGTACTGCAGCTCAATAAGCATGCTATAGCATGGTAATTCTGTGCTAGCACTTCAGTTTGCTTTACATGTTTAAGTCATCCTGTTTATCTGTGTGTGCATGCAGGTATAATAGGAATACATTAAAATGTAACCTCCATAACTTACACCTGTTCTGCTGAACTGCTTCCTGAATGGGGTTTCAATGCCACATTGCTGTGTGGATGCTCATTTGTTCTCTTTCGTATTTGGGCATTGTGGATCACTGGCTAATGAGCCCTTTTTGCATATTGATCCTAGAAACTGATTTATTAGGTGGATAACTTCTGTTTGCTGTTAAACCTGAAAAAGGCAAGCAAAAACACATTTGGAGCCCGAGCTATTCATGGGAGGTGTCTGGGCTGCTGCTGTTTCTCTGACAGTACTCTTGGCCCTGGGGCAAGTGTATGTAAGGTGTATGTAGACACTTTCTGGACCAGCAGGAGATGGTGGATTCCTGTTAGAGCTTGCAGCAGAGGTTCTGCTATACAGAACCAATCAACTAAGAAAGAAACGCTGATAAGCATGAAATGGAAGTGCATTTAAATAACAAACTACATAGTTGTCAGTATTTGTGTTGTACTATACCAGGTGCCTAACAGTGGACCATAACCTGAATAGCTCTGTGCTTAAAAGATAGACCAAACTGGGAGGGATTTCAGCCAATGAAGCAATCTTATTCACTTTTACCAGCCCTGTGAGCTCTCTGAACAGTGTGGGAGTAACGGTTTGAACAGTTAAAGTGTGTGCATTATTTTATCAATCTGGGCTGTGCAGGTTAATATGATGCACTGATGCTGCCCATACACAAGTGGAATTACGAGTAGGAAGTTGCAGTAGGTGAGGTCTGATGGCCAAAAAGATAGGTTAAGCTGGAGTTGCGTGTTCTTTACCTTGAAGGATATCTAAGTTGAATGTGGCAAAGACCACTGAGAGGACTCAGAAAACAGGAGTAATACAGTAAAGTTGACAGGAAAATTAATTTGATTAATAATGACTGGGTGTTTCTTAAAATGTTCTCTAATAGGTCAAAACACTTTTAATTCTAATGTAATAACTCAAGTGATTCATTATTTGTGCAGCTTATAATGTACATATGCAACTTTGGCTTTTTCTTTATGCTGTCTGCAGGGGAAGGAAGTAAATAAGCCTGAGTCGTCTCCTCTTTATATCTGGAATCCCTTTGAACAAGACCTTAATATCAGCAAGAATGTTAATCAGCCACAGCTGGAGAAATTTATAGCTATGGCCAGAGAAAGTGCCTGGATTTTACAGAAGGAAGATAAAACTCAGCAAATGATCAATAAAGAACCTTGGGGACTGGCAGCTCTACTGATACCATTTGGAAAAAATAATTCCAGCAAGATGAAGAATAGGATGAAAGGAATAGGAAGTGAAACAATCAGAAGCCTCTTGGACTCTTTAAAGTTAAATAATGCAAGCAGTCAACAAAAAGCAGTGGGAAAATGACTTGAAGAACAGAAACACAATAACTAATATTCTGTTTTAGGAATTGAATGTGACATGTAGTCCAAAGAACATTACTTTTAATATTTCTATTATGGAGAATGGAGAATCAAGCAATCTCTGTTTTTCATCATAATGATTTTTGTACAGGTCTGCATTCTTTCTGTACATTTTTCTCCTCCTTACTCCTCACTTTTCCATCTGTTTTATGAATGAAGAGTATTGAAATGTAAGTTTTACAGATGCATTTTGGAAGTAGCCTTCAGTTGGGCACTCTTCTGTAAAAAAAAGCTGACAGGAGTAGTATGGGAAAAAGCCTTTGGGAATTCTCTTGGCTAGCATACAAATGATATGCTAATTAAAAGCTCAAGAAACAACCACTTTTCCATGAAACCACAGTCTGAAAGAAGATAAATGTGTTGGAACCATTGTTTCCAATCCAGTGTTTTGGAAGCCAGTAAAACTGAAGTGCATATATCTATTTTTGCAGTTGTTTTCCATTCACATAGATAGTGCCAAGACAAAATAAAGGGAATGGAATTAGATAGCCGGGTGTGCAGTTTCATAAAGCATTACAACACCGCAGCTCTTCAAGGATAGTGCCACTGTTTTGTGTTGGAAAAGTGGGTTTGCTCTTGTATTTGCCACCTGATTTAAAATGTCTTTAGTTAGCTCTCCTTTGTTTTCTCTACCCAGGACTGGTCTCCACCCACACTTGTTTCTTATTTTGCCTTCAGCTTCACTTTAAACCTGTATTTCAGGTTCAGGCAGGGGTTCTGGAATGCCCTTCTTGCTTCATCATTCTCCCCAAAGCTGCTGCCTACCAGGGGACATCAAAGCATTCCTGCAGAGGGATCTGTCCTATGCAGAGATCCAGAGAATCACCCCAGTCTTGCCTGGGTTTTCAGACATTCAGCAGAAGAGTGGCCATTCACCTTCCAGATCAGTTGGGCCAACAGAGCCAATGCTTTTTGTTGAATTTAAACACTAAGTGCTCTTTGGCACAAAAAGAAGTCTTCTCAGAGGAAGGCAGAGTTGGGAGGGAAGGAAGGAAATGGGAAATGGAGAGCAGGCAAATATCAAACTTTAAAAGTAAATTTGTGAGTATTTCACCTGTCCAGTTTGAGAGCCACTCATGCATTAAACTAAATGGTAGCACTGTTAGCAATTCCACAGAGTGTTTTCTGAACAGGAATTCCATGAACGAGAATTACTGTATTAAGAGATAATCATATAAATGCAACATTAATTTTATGATTACTGTTTCATTTTCAGTACCTTTAGACTCTTTAGTGTTGCACTGGTATCCAATCTTGTGTAGACTTTTTTCTAATGGTGTGATCTGAACAATTTATAAGTGTGTTTTCTCTTTTCTCTGATACATTATTCATTGGAAATACTGTGGGCAATAATAATGCATACTTCCAAATACTTGTAAAAACTGGGCAAGGAAAAGTATCTTCTAACAGTTGGCAAACTAAAAGGTTAGACCTTCAAGTCAATTCCATAATAGTTTATTCAGAGTTTAAAATAATATTTATATGTGTCCATTTCTGATTCATAAATGTTTTCTTAAATAATGACTCACATAGTCATTATCTTGGTTGCTGAAATTAATTCTCATATTAACTTCTTCAAGAGTGAGCCTTGATTTTCTACCTAAATCCTGGTACTAGAACTTCTTTTTGGAGGCTAATATGAAGTTTATTGTAACTCGCTGTTGATGCAAACACAAAACCTTTGCTAGCAAGCTTGACACAGATTCTGTAAGGAGCCTGCTGCTCCCTTAACCTTTACAAAACCTAGAGGTTCATTGTCTGCACCACGAACAGACTATGTAGCTTTTTGAAGATTAGGGCAGTACTTGAGTACTTCAGAATTTTCTTTTTTTAGATTAACCAAATGGGTAATAGTGTAATAATAACAATATGGGTTACCAGGGACAGAAGCATGCAGCAAAACTGTGGCAGTGTGCACCTAATTGCATTATATTCACAATGATCCACCGACATATGTAGGAAATATTTTATAGGAATTTTGACGTGTACAGGACACTCGCAGACAAATAACAGGGATTTTGTATTTTGGTTATATGGTTGAGCCATGCTGGAACACAAGCTTCATTTGTAAGTAGTTATAGATGTTCAAGCTGCTTAGTATTCCTTAAAAGGCAGGGCAGATCATGATTACTGTACATTTAGCACCTTTCAGCATCACTTTTCTGTTTAGATTGCCTGTCCCTTTTGGAATAGTTCTGAACCTTTTTCATGGCTGCAGGCCAGTATCTGAAAAGACCAGAAAGAAGCCAAAAGCAATGTTGTGGCAGTGGAATGCACAGGTTATTTTTTCAGATATCTACTAGTCGAGGGAGCTGGTGACCAGGGAGCTGAAGCCTAGAGGCTGCAAGGAGCAGCTCTCATTGGTGAGGTAAATAAGCTCAGCAGGCAGCTTTCCTAGAAGAGGCTGTAGCTGGAGGAGGTGGAGGGCTGACCATGAGTTTCCCTAAAGTAGGAGTTATATCTGGGGAAGAGCTGAGTGAAGCAGAAGCCACCTGTGGGAAGAGAACCAAGACTTGAGGGGGTGTATTTATGAAATCAAGAGAGATGGTATGATTATCATTTCCTGAGGGCAGCAGTCTTACAGTGAAGATATTTAGAAACCATCAGTATGGTTCTGTCACTGAAAACAAGAGCTGGATGTATGTCAAGAAAGGACTATGATTATGATCTAGATTTGAGAGCTCATTCATATGCTCCAGAAACATCTAAGCAATGGCCCTGCAAGAGCAAGGCAGTAAGTTTTAGTTACTTCTCAAACTTGGTGCTGATCTGCTGTATTGTATGGTGGGGCTGTTTGGGAGGTCACAGGTAAGGAACACCAGTGAATTAAAGACAATTTTGCCCCTCTGCCCCTTTCCCTCACTGGAAATACTTTTTAGTGCAAGTCTCATATTTCCTGGCTCTTAAATGGTAAGGGAAACTGAAAACATTCTGAAGTTCCTTGTCCTGAGAAAATACGCTTTGGGATATTAACTTCGGAGTTAACGTTTGTTGCCAGGGATTTTAATTTTATTTCCCTAGATGTTTGATGCTCACAAGTGTTGCAGGAATAGGTTCTGCTGCAATTGTCACTGTTCCTCATTCCTCTGTAACTTCCAGGGAATCTGTAGCCTTGGCCTGCAGTTCACTCCTGGGTGAACATCATAGTGCCATGCTTGTGAAGATGCAGTCACAAAAGACTTCTTGCTACATTTTCTGTCTTGGGTTCTGTTATTTAGACTTGGAATCATGGTATATTTCAGGCCAGGAGATTTCCTTCTTAAGTGGTATCAGCTGTGAGATCAGACCAGGACTTTTTATCTAGTCAGACCTTGAAAATCTCCAAGGATGGAGACTGCACAACCTGTTCTAGTGCTTGACTGTCTCCATTATTTTGGTGGGCTGGGCTGAAATGTGCTGCTCCATCATTGTCACTCTTAGTGGCTCTTTTTCGGATCCTGGGACATGCTCTCAATCAAAAAGCTGTCTGCTACAAGTGTTCAAGCTGCTCCTTCTCATAGAAAGCCCCAAGTCTTCCCTTCCTGTCTTTCCAGGAGGAGCTCATATCCATCCATCACATGCAAGCCCTCCTACCATAGCTGTTGTTCCCACAGCACAAATAGTATTAACACCACAAGGAGTTCTAGCTCCTCTTGCTTGTTCCCTAGGCTGCCACACATTTGTATCTGTACATTTTAGGTGTACCTGTTCATAATATGTTATTATTCTTGAGGTCCCTTTTGTTCCTGTTATCCTGTATCCTTTTCTCTCAATCCATGTCCACAAGCATGGCATATCTGGGGGCTGTGGTTTTCCTCTTCTTTGTTCTAGCTGATTGCTTTGATATGGCCACTGTGCCTATCCAGCTTACAAAGTCCTCATGACACTAAATCCTGGGTAAAACTTAATTCCTAAAAGGCTCTGCAGGAAAATAAGAGGCCTTGAGTAGCAGACTGGTGATTGCACTGGCAGAGAAGCCCCAGAAAATACAGTGCCATGTAGAGATGGTGATTCAGGTGCAGAATCACCTCAGGGCACAGTGCTGTGGCTCTGGGAGCTTGTTGCTTCCACAAGTGCAGTAGTGTGGTACAGGATGCTGCTGCCCAGCAGAGCTTGTCCCACTTGGATCTGACATATCTGTGGTGCTGTGTCACTTCTAAGTCTAGAACAGTCAGGCTTTCAGCCACAACCTCACTCTGCTCCATGCTTGTGCTGGTCATGGAGGAATTATGTTCTTAGAACAGAAAGTCTTCCCTCATGGAAACAAATCTGCAAGTTCATTTTTTTTTACACCCTTCAGAGGTACAGGCCATGTTTTTGCTTAACAAAATTTTGTACCTTTGGAGAAAGAAAAGGTAGACAAAGAACCTCTGTTTAATTTTGCAAACAAACTAGTGAAAGGTCCATGCCATGTTCAACTGAAGAAAGTTTAAGATTTCCAGCCTGGGCTGCTTTAGAGATATGATGAATCAAAAATTAGGAAGCTTTTCAAAGTAAAGTCATGTTGTTCACTGGAAAGTTCTCTTCCAAATGCTTTCCCTTGCTTATCACAAAATTACCACCAAGGTTCTATTCTAGTACTAAATTCATCTAAACATCACGGGTAAGTTGGGGTCAGTTTGTTTAAAACAAGGGTTAGGATTTATTTGAGGCTAACTTGTGCCTGGAGATAAAATCTCCTTCTCCATAAATCCTCTTAGTTGAAAGTCTTGATCCACGTCTTTTGCAGACCTGTTTCTCGTACTTTCCTTAAGCAGAGGATTGGTTTGCTTTCTTTTGCAGGACCTGCCTGCTTCTTTTCACCCTTCCCATTGTCTTTTCATTGTATCTGACCTGTAAAAAACACAGTATTTCACTTCCCGTAGTATTTGGTGAATCAATAGTGAATACAGCTGTATTCAAGAAACAGGTCATTTTCAAATCACATTGCAATGTGATTTTTTTTTTTTTTTACTTCTTCCTTTCTTGTGATTTTTTTTTTACTTCTTCATTTCTTGCGTAGAATGAATCTCCACACTGCATTTCCCATGGCTCATAGAGGGATCAATTAGCTGGACTTGATGGGTCTCACCTTTATTAAACATGTATTTTTGGGAAGTGTCCTCAGTAAAGAGACTTGTTTAACATAGTCTGTTATATTAGAAAGCAGAAGTTCCCTGCAAATTTTTTATCCCTTCAGGATAAATTCTGTTTTCCCTTGTTGTTATGGGGAAGCCATGTTCAATTTGTTTCACAGAATGACTTCAGAGATAGGTTTTTGTTCCCATGCTGAGCTTTCTTGTGCATACAGATTTGTAGTCAATGTAAACAGCGCAGCCCTGTACAGGAATTTTGCATGGAACAACTCCCAGAATATGTCTTGTAGGTATTACACTCACAGCCCAACAGGGGAGGTAGAAGCCCCAGAAATTACTAAGGCATAGCCTCTCTTTTGTGGTGCTGACTCCATGAGATAGAAAAATTTCCATAATTCTGTGTTTCTTTTTCTCATGTTGGACAGAGGAAAGACATTGCTTTTCTGCAGAGAAAAAGTAGACATGTTAGAAGTTGGATTGTTGGTTTTCTAAAGCCCTTCTCTAGGAGCAATTTCTAGAGATTTTCAGGACAAGAGAAAGAACTGGGAGAATACATAGAGGCTTTGTAGTTCAGGCAATCAGATAAATGGTACTTACGATTAGATTAATTATCAAAAGGAAGTGCATAGGGGACGATAGCACATGTAACAATCTGGCAATATCAAGTACCACTGCCTTGTCTCCTTGAACCAGTTTTCCTGCCTCAATTTTCTGTAGTCCAGTGGGGCACTACTTTTATAGAGGGATGGGATTTCAGAGAGTGTACTATATGGGAACTATGGTATCCAATACATGGGAGGGTGAGTACTTAGCCATTGCAGTAGATGAAAAGAAGCATTACCAACTCCATACTGAAATAAGATTCAGAGATTTTTTTTTTATTATTCCAGAATTAAAATATATAGAATTGTTCTGTGAATCCTTAGGTGATTCGTAGTTCTTCCTTTTTAAAATTATCTTTGGACACCAATCAAAAGAGGGTTTGCTGTAATTGCTTGATGCCTGAGCTTGCAAAGTAAGGTCTCATTTGAAATGATCATGATCTGTTTTGTTGAGACATTAAAGACCTTAGTGATTACAGATCTGCTTGAAACTCCGTGTTTAAGAGGGTTTGCATTACAGTTGGCTTATGAATCTGGAATATTATCATTTTCAGTTATCCTAAGAATGCAAATGCTTACAGTTAGCAACAGACTTTACCACTTCTGACTGTTACCATTAGGCTGTTACATTTTAATCCTCCTTTTTACTGTAGACAGTATTTTCAATCTTTGAACTATGTTGCAGCAATTAATTTTATATTTCTTCTATGAGATAATAAAGAAAAACATGTCCTTTGTATTTGTTCAGTAAGTTACTGTTTCGTTGTGCTGCTGAAATCTTTGATAAGATAAAGAATAACGTATCTGGTGCTTTCCTTCCTCAGATGCAGGCAGAGATTACAGAAATGAGGATGCATTTCAAAGAGCAATGGTTTTGAAGGGTTGTTCTCTAAATGCCTCAGTCTACAGAGCTCACCAAAGAAGTAAGAAAACAAACCCCTGAAAAAGTAAATCTCATTGTCAGCCAGCTTCAACTCACCCAAGAAACATTTTTAACTTTGGAGATTTTCCAAATAGAACAATTGTCAAACCAAATGCCATCAAGTCATGGTTGGAGATGGAGTGCTTCTTGCCTTCCAGAATCACTTTATGATTAATAATTTGTTTAAGTAAATGGTGGTCTGTGAATAGTATGTCTCTGTCACTTAAAAAATACAGTTTCTAATGAAGAGAGCAGAAATAACACTTTGGATATCTGACAAACTCTGTGAGATATCTCTTAATGGGAAGAGAAGAATTTTTTTTCTAGCTAGATATCTAAAGTTCCTGAACCCTGTCCTGGCAAAAAACTTGCTTTTTATTCTTATTATTTATAAAGAGGGAATACAGGCATCTCTGTTTGTCTTGATTTAATTTTATCCCACATGTATAGGGTTACAAGTATGTGGCAGTTAGGCATAAGTGATAGAATTTTATGCTCCAAATGCTGGTAAGAGAGAAGCTTCAGATCACATAGATTAATGCTGGCTTGATTCAAAGACACCTAGTCCAAATCTCCTGCACTTTTTTTGATCCCACCCACCATTGCAGCAGAAGACCATAAATATTAACAACTGCCAGCTGCTCACTCGTGGTAGGGATGACTTCCCGTGGGGTTAATCTTCCTAAGCCAATAGCAACCTTTAATTGCCAAGCTGACCTAGGGACTTCTGAAGCTTGAGAATGCAAAGAATGGTTTGCCATCTTCATATCCCATTCCTAGCAAAACTTTTTTCCTCCTGAGTCTAGTAACAGGAGGACATATCCCTAAATTTTTTGTCAGATGCAGAAATAGTGAACAATGGTGCTATAGCATGGCCATTTCTATTCCTCAGATTTGTGCAATGTATGAGTTTCTGTGTGTTTTTATCTAGCATCTTTACTCTGTTTTTCAAAAAAGATTGATGAATTTTTTTGGTTGTTTTTGTTGTCCTTGGAGTTTAATAAGCTAGAGCCTTTAGAGCTGTGCTTCATTTGTTCCCATGTTTTTCCTGGCAAAGAGTAAAATTCAAAGCTGAGCCTTTTTCTGCTGGATGTTTTTCTTTTCTGTGATAAACACAAAGTATGCAGTTGATGTCATGAGAGCAGTAGGTGCAGGATTCAGCTGACACTTTCCAGCAGAAAAGTCTCCATCTTGCCAGGCCTTTGAGGAGACATGACAATGATTCATTTTGGTGATAACACAGTAGGAACACAAGTCCAATTGTTGGCTGTGTAGGTCAGAATGGGATATGTTGGCATCTCTGTTTGCAGACTTTACAAAGATGTCTGAGAATGGGAAGCATGACAGCAAAAAACCTATTCTGCTATAACTTAAATTGTTCTGCTGATGGAAGTAGTCTATGAACAGTTTGCTGTCAAATACTTGCTGTCTGCCTAGCAGAGCTGAACGTTGTCTATATATGAGGAGGTTTAATTTTCCACATTAAACAGCTCATTTTCTCTTTACCCAAACTCTGCAATTAAAGTCTGTCTCTGTGCCGAGAAGAAGGCCCTTAGAATTACTCAGTCTTGCCGTTCCAGTGTGAGTTCTTTACAGCAGCTGATGTACATGTACATGATGTACCTAAAAATCAGAGGAAATTGACAGTTCACTTGGTTAGCTCAGGAGTTTTCTTGCAGCCTTGTGCCTTTTAATGTCTGTGCTTCAGAAACTTGTTCAGCAGTCATTTTGGGTTTTGCTTGTTCAGTCAAAACTGGCTTTGGGAATGTAATATTTTGTAACATATTAAAACATTTTGCTGCACACCCCATTGCACATCATGCAGGAGAACGACATGCCTTTTTATGGGAATCTACCAGCTCTCCCCTGATGTCTGCTCCTTCTAGGAAAGCCTCTGGTTATTGAAGATGAAGAACAAAGCTTTTCTCTTTTTCCCTATGTGAGTGCTCCAGTGGAGGGCCCTGGGACTGCTTTTGTTTGGTATGTTTGGATGGTGTCATGCACTCTTTGGACCTGGCTTGTGCCTTTCCAAGAACATCATGTTCTCACTTCCAGGTTTGTCCCTCTGATCCTCTGTGTTCATCACCTACATAAACAGCAGCATTACTGCTAATTCTGCTCTACAGCTAGGAGAAGCTGAAGCACCTTCCTGTTTTGAGGAGAACAACTCTTTCCCAAATGATTCATCTCCTTTAAATTAACTGAGAGTTTCTTCTCACACCAGGGGAAGAAACGTGAAATATCTTACAACATTGCTCAAATATATGTTGTGACAAACATTACAGCCAAAACCATCCAGGTTTTTTTAGGTTCTGCACCACATACATTCAAGGAAAAATATTCTCTTTTTGTCACATGTCTTGAGAGCTGAATAGATTTTTGAACTAGTTGGAGGTTTAGTGTTGCAAGATCAAAGATGTACTATGTACCATGTACTATTTTTTTCTTTTTAAAAGAAGGAAATAAATCCTAATGGCTGGACATAATGTTGTCTGTGATCATACTTTGTCTTGGCATGTTTATTAGCACAATGTAGACTTTTATAAAACTGTTTTCTTCCCTCTATCAGTCCTAAGTATTTATAACAATTACTTTCTCTGGGGTTCTGTTGGTTATCTTATGAAAATCTGTCTCATACAGGAAGGACACCCAGTCAGGTGATAATAAGTTTGAAATAACAATATGAGCAATGATTTGAGCTTGCAACACAGTTCAGAAGGGAAGTGGGTGGTAACTGATATTTTTATTTCAGCCTCATCAAAAGAATTCAATTGAATCAATTTTTTTTTTTTTATTGTGGGTGAGGCTTGTTTCAAAATAAAAACCAACCCAGCAGGGAAGTTCTGCATACATGCCCAAAGGTGAGATTTCTATTCTAGGAGGGCTAAAGACCTAGACAGTGTTTGTTGAAGTATCTGTCACTTAATGCCTTTCCACAGTAGTCCCTAGCTGAGGATCTTGATTGTTCTTGATTATGAAGAAAGACATAAAGAATAATTATGGGAGGGGATTTTTATTTCTGTTTCTGCACTCTTATGTGAAATGCATGCCAGCACAGACCAGAGCACCACATCCTGATACAGAGAAGCATCTGTATGTAAATGAATTTGAGTTGTCAAAGGGCTCCAGTGTTGAGTCCCAAATCTTTTCAGCAACTTTGAAAATTCACTAAAAAATCAATTACAGAATAGTTTATGCTGGGAAGAGGAAACGGAGCATGTCCTCTGCTGAAGCATCACGCTGTGATGAATGGCAGTGGGTCTGGTGAGCCAGTTGTCTGTTCCAGTTTGGTCTTTGTTCCTGTAAATGAGCCAGTGTATATCTGGAAGAAGGGGAAGTTGTCTGGAAATTTGATCCAACAAATAGCTCCATTGTTGCTGTAATAAAAGCATAGGATGACTATTTCAAATGTTTAAATAATGGTGATATTTTTAATTAAATAAGTTATTATAGCCTTCTTTAACACTGCCATTACTGTTTGTTTGTTGCTGAAATAAGTTAAAAAAAAAAAAGGAGTATAGATCATATACTACACTCTAATCTTTCCATATAAATATCTCTAAAACCTGAGTAATAAGTAGCAAAATAGAATAAAAAAACATCTTTTGCTAAATCTTTTTCACACACATTTTGACAGCCAGGCATAAAGATTGTATTTAGATTAGGATTTGTCGAGAAAGGTGCTGCTGAGAAGATGCTCAAAATCCTGACATTGTTCAAAGCTGGATTTCTCAGCTGCTCATGAAAGTTTTCTTGTTCTTCCCTCACAGTTCTAAGGCATTTTATACACATCTACATACAAGGATTTTTTTTTTTTTTTTTTTTTTTTTTTTTTTTTGCATAGCTGATCAGTGGAGGTAGAGTAAGGAATTTTCCCATAATCAGTAAAAAATAAAGATGTTAAATTCTGCTATTCTGCTGTAGTCTAACACAAGACTGGCTATACTGCTTCATAGTGCCTATACCACTTCATCCTCAAGTGAAACCTGTCAACAGCAAAATGCACATGTTCTCTGGTGACAAAAAAACGCAGGAGACTTCTCTGTGCCTCTGGAGAGAAACTTGTGCTGCACCTCCATGAGCCCCTTCTGGCTGTAGCTGCTCGAAGGCAGCAGCTTCGCACACCCCTTCAGCTGAGGTTTGCACATGCTTTAGCTGAGTTGGGCACAACTTTTTGCAGAGTTTGGCACACCTTTTAGTGGAATTTTGCACACCTTTTAGCAGAGGTTTGCACACGCTTTAGCTGAGTTTGGCACACCTTTTAGCAGAGTTCCGCACACCTTTTAGCTTAGTTTCGCACACATTTTTGCAGTTTCGCACACACTTTAGCTGAGTTTTGCACACGCTTTAGCTGAGTTTCGCACACATTTGGCAGAGTTTTGCACACACTTGAACTGAGTTTTGCGCACCTTTTAGCAGAGTTTTGCACACAATTTCGCAGAGTTTTGCAAACCTTTTTAGCAGAGTTTCGCACACATTTAGCTGAGTTCAGCACACCTTTTAGCTGAGTTTTGCACATCTGTTAGCAGAGTTTGGCACAACTTTTAGCAGAGTTTCACACACCTTTTAGCTGAATTTTGCACACCTTTTAGCTGAGATTCACACACCTTCTAGCAGAGTTTCGCACACCATTTAGCTGAGTTTAGAAGACCTCTTAGGTGAGTTTGGCACACCTTTTAGCAGAGTTCCGCACACATTTTAGCAGAGTTTCGCACACTTTTTAGCAGAGTTCCGCACACCTGTTAGCGGAGTTCCGCACACATTTTAGCTGAGTTTGGCACACCTTTTAGCAGAGTTTGGCACACCTTTTAGCTGACTTTCGCACACCTGTTAGCAGAGTTCCGCACACCTTTTAGCTGAGTTTTGCACATCTGTTAGCAGAGTTCCGCACACATTTAGCAGAGTTTCGCACACATTTTAGCTGAGCCCGGGGCGGCGCTCCTGCCATCTCCGCTCCGCGGCCGCGCAGCATCGGCCCCAGCGAGAGAGGCCCTGAAGCGGGCGGGACACAGCCCCCAGCCCCCAGCCCAGAGCCCAGAGCCCCCAGCCCCCAGCCCAGAGCCCACAGCCTCCAGCCCCCAGCCCACAGCCCCCAGCCCCCAGCCCCCAGCCCCCAGCCCCCAGCCCCCAGCCCACAGCCCCCAGCCCCCAGCCCACAGCCCCCAGCCCCCAGCCCCCAGCCCACAGCCCCCAGCCCCCAGCCCACAGCCCCCAGCCCCCAGCCCCCAGCCCACAGCCCCCAGCCCCCAGCCCACAGCCCACAGCCCCCAGCCCCCAGCCCACAGCCCACAGCCCACAGCCCCCACAGCCCACAGCCCACAGCCCCTGCCCTCCGCCTGCCTCGTCAGAGCGGGAAGCTGCGAACTTGGTTTTCTTCTGCATTTTTGAGCTCCTGCAGCCTGCCGGCAGTAAGTATCAGGCCGGTTTCTAATAACTCATGTTCTCTCTGTGTTTAATCAGAAAAAGGCTGACGTGGGCTGTATTCCGCCCCCAGCTCGGCTGCACCGTGCCCGTGCCCACACAGCCTCCGTGCCGCAGGAGCTGCTCGCAGCGCCGGGCTCTGGAGCTGCGCTCCTTGGGAAATCCCCCTGTGACAGAGTCCTTGGGCAATAGCACGGAGCCTACAGCTTTCACTTCTCGAGGTGTAAAAGAGGTAAGACTAAAAGCTCTGTCCTCATCCAACATGATTTTGGAACTGGGAATAATTATGCTGCGATGCTTGAACAAGCTGCAGCTCTAATCAGGGAAGTTTTAGGGTACATTTGTGGCTCACAGAGACCTTCTCAGCATCCTCCTCCGCTGCCCGTTCTCGGGGATTCCCTGGGAAGTTGCATTCCCCAGAACATCTGAAGTCCCTGGGGATGGGAGTGATGACTCCTCTGCTTTCTGTTGGCAGTGAAAATCACCTCCAATTCCCAAAAAGGGAGAGAGGAAACCTTGATTGCTGTGATGCTCCTGGGGTTTGTTCCAATTCTGAAACCTTGAAAAAGTGCTCTATTTCTTCCTGGAAATGGAAATTCCAGCTGAGGGAAGTTAATAAATGTTAACATGGAAAGGGCACAATTCCCTCCTTTGCCTGCAAAGTCCATGGGCATGTTTGCATGCTGTTAATCCCTGTCAGAGATACAATGCACAGCATGTTTTCTCTTGATATAATGCTGGAGGATGAAGATGTTTTCTACATAGCATGAAAACTGTGTTAATTCTGTTTTCTCCTTTTTAAGGCATTTACACAGCTTGAAGAGCTTTCACTTGTATTTTACAACCAGACAGCAAAGGCAGGCAGATGGCTGCTATCAGCACGTGAGTGGCTCTGTGCTGCACCAAGCCTGAGAGCAGGCACTGCTGGACTGTGGGTGAGAACCAGCTTGCTACAAGCATCTGGATTACAAAACAGGTGCCAGTGAGTTAACTTTATCATCATCCACTTCAACTCAAAACAGGAAATTTTCCCTGTCATGGAAAATGCTTGCTTCTTGAATGGTAAAGTCCACAAGAGAAACCCCCTCTACCTTTCAGAGAGATGCTTTTGTTATGTGATTCTTGGAACAGTTTGTGAGACTGTCACGAGTAAATATGAAGCTTAACATTTGTAAGCAATTAGCTTCATGCTGGATAAACACAGGCCTTTTGCCCATCACCCATCAGAAACACCAGTTCATTGCAAGCTGGAGCCCCATTTTCCCCTGGGTGGAGATCTCTGGGATCCTCAGGGGTCTGCTCTCTCCCTGTGCTGTAGCTGCTCTGCCCCATGTGCATGTACAGGTGCTGTGCCCTTGCAAGCAGCTGCTGCACGTGTATCCTGTGTGATGTGTGCCTGATGAGTGCCCACGGCTGCAAGTCAGCTCCCCCACCACCCTTTGTCACCCAGCCCCAGCTGGCAGTGCCACTGCAAGCCCCAGCACCCCTGCATACTCACCAGCCATTTTCTGGGAGCTCAGCAGGGAGGCAGGGATACACCAAAGGGTGAGGTGCATCCATGGCTTCCTCTGCTGCTGGGGACAGAGCATCCCACTGGGAGCCCTCTGCAACTCAGGTGCCCAGCTGTAGCCCAGGGCAGGTACTGCCTTGTGACTTCTTGTGCTTCTCTGCCTTTTGATTCACACTTTTCATCATGTTAAAACCATGCAAGTCAGGGCCTGGGCCGTGTGCCGTCCCCCATCTTCTGGGCTGCTCACGCCTATCTCTGAAATTTACTTTCCTCTCTCCCTTGTGCTGGGAAAAGCCCCAGGTAGGCTCTTTATTGAGATCAATAATTCCTGCTCTCTGTGTACTTTCTCACCTGCCAGCTTAGTCAGTGCTGGACAGCTTCACCATTTATACCTTTCTGGTTCTAAGTCCACATTCTGGATGAATGTTGTCTCCCTTCTGCACATTCAACGACTGGAAAAAGGTCAGTCAGCAGGCAGCAAAACACCCTCTCCTGTTTAGATTTTGAATTTATCCCCAGCATTAATAGAAAAAAACTTTTATCTGCATAGAGTTTAAACATGACCAGTCCTTGATTATGGCAAATGGTCTGTAGGAAGCTCTCCATCCCACAGTGTGTTGGGACAACATGGACATGGCCTTGCAGTAGCCTGTAATGCACTGAGAGAGAGAGTTTGGGTGGTCTGCTCCCAGGAGTAGCAACTCAGTGGGTGGGGTGGTGCTGTAGATAATAATTTTGGATGACTTCAGTGCAGCACAGAAGACTAAACTTCACACGGCTGTTCCTTGTCAAAAAACATTTACTGCTTAGCTGAACCACAGCCAAGCCTCCTCGTTGCTGCTCTGTGGAGCTCCACGTGGCACCACACGGTGCAGACTGTCCTGCTCTTGGGGCACATGGCCCTGCTCCAGCAGAGGTGCAAGGGCTGACAAAACTGAGCACTTCTCCTCACCAGGCATCTGCTCCCAGCCACGCAATGACTGAGCTGATGGGCTCCCCTCAAGGGTGTCTAGAAACGTTCCACCACAAGTGCTTGGGAAACTATGAAAAGCAAAGAAAATCTCTGTCTCTGCTAGCAAAAAACATCTCCTAAAAGGAGAAGATAAACTACTCTTTCTATGTGGTAGGCTCACTTTCTAGAAAGAAAAATGCCACCAATAGTGGTGGGAGGGATAAAGGAGGCAGCTTGTATAAGGAGGTGATTTCTTTCAGCATGAAATTATGCATCTGCCTGCCACAGACCTTGCAGCATCAGCCCTCCCTCCCCTGGCTCAGCTTCTTTCTCTCAGCATAAGGCTGCAAGCTGCTGTGCTAAAAATACATATTTTTAGCGTGAAATAGCTGCTCCTGCAGGAGCACACGTCAGAGACACCAAAGCACTCCTTGCAAGCTCTGAACCAACCTGCTTAGACTTCTCTCCTGAGGGTGGAGCATGAGTTCATTGACTAGAAAGAGCTTTGCTGACATCCCAGGTGAACTGGGAAATCTTTCCCATCCCTCCATGGATTTCTCCATGTCCTGGGTTTGCCTTAATTGAATCTTTTTGGTAAGGAAACCGAATTTGAAAGAGAGTCTTCCCAGAAGGTTTGTTCACGGTCCTGTAAGCATGAACCTGTCAGAATGAACATGTAAGAATAATGTTACTACTTGTGCTGTGACATTTTCCTACAAATTTCTCATCATTCCAGGGTAATTCTTTCAAGACCTGGTGTATACATGTAGTAGCTGCAGTGTTTAATCCCTGTGAAGAGCTGTAGACTTTTCTGTTTGGGCTGAGAGCTGACAAAGTCTGGTTTATCACATGCTTCTTACCAACAAAAAAATGTCATTCACTAAAAAAGTCATTCTATCAATCTCTGAACGAAGAGATAAAAATCATGACAAATTGAAGCCAGGTAACATTGGAATCACAGTCTGATAAGGCTGGATAAGACTGGTGGGGACCTCTGGAGATCATCTTGTCCAACTCCAGCTCAAAGCAGGTCTGCTAGAACAGATTGCTCAGGGTCATGTCCAGTTGATGCTGAATGTCTCCAAGGATGGAGGGAGTTTCTTCCATTTACCTCTCTTGGCAGCCTGCTGCAGTGCTTGACCACACTCACAGTAGAACATGTTTTTCTTGTGTTTAAATAGAATTTCTTGCATTTCAGCTTCTGCTTATTGCCTCTTGTACCATCAGTGAGCATGACTGAAAAGAACTTGACCCCATCTCCTGTAAACCCTTTCTTCAGGTATTTATATACATAAGGGTGTGATCCTCCCTGAGCCTTCTCAGGCTGACTGCTCCCAGCTTTCTCAGTTTCCCCCTCTATAAGAGATGGCTCCAGCCCTGTAATCAACTTCATGATCCTTCCTTGTTCTCTCTCCAGTGTGTCCATGTGAACCCTGAACTGGACAAAGCACTCCAGGCATGAGAGGGGACCTGCTTGCAAAGTTTTATCTCATGCAGCCCATGACACCATTGGTCTTATTTGCCAAAGTTTCCCAGATCTTATTTTCAGCTCTCCTGAAAGAGAAGGATTATTTTCTTTCTTCCACTCTTCAGGTATCTCTCCTGACTGCCAAGGTTACAGAGTGACCTTGCAATGACATTGGCTAGCCCCTCAGCACTCATGGGTACATCCCATGAAGTCTCATGGGCCTGCATATATCCAGTTTGTTTAAATGTTCCTAACAAGACCACTGAAATTAAGCCTTTCTTGCTCTGATCTCAGGGTAATTATAGCATTGTACAGTAAGGATGCAATTTTCTCTTAATTCTCTGCAGTGTTCACAGCATGTTGTTGCTTTTTCCCTGTTGAGTTCTGCGGTATTCTCCAGGAAAAAAAAATACCTCAACAGCAGGTTTTCATGTAATTATAACCTCTATATCTACCTTCCTTCACTCCCTTTTCCTCCCACTCAACTCCAGCACCTAATTTCTAAATCCTCCTCCTCCATCAGTGCCTATGAGAGAACACCAGCAGTGTAGCATGTCCATGGACTCACACTGACTACTCTGAGGGGCACAAGAGTTGCATGCTTAAACCCTTGTGGTGTATGCTTGAAAATTTCAGCTTCGTTTTGCAGAGGAGGAGAGCTCTGGTGAAGATTTTCCATTTGCCTCATCTTATCCCCAACGCTGACATCACCAAATCCCCAGCAAGCAGTACTGTTGCTGCATGTTCACAGTGAAAAGGTGAAAAGACTCTGTTTAAACATACAAATTTAACTTGCTACCTAGGGTGTGCTTTAGAATACTGCAGAATTTTCCTGAAAGATTAATGATGTTAAAATGTGCTAATGGCAGGCGAGAGCAGCACTGTATGTCCATCGAGGTGGTGCAGGCTGTGGAGCTGCTCCCTGGGGAGCCTCTCCCAGCTGCCCCATGCATGGGATGGCACAGCATGGCATGGCAGCCCACCTGCCCCACCACTGCGAGCCTGGCCTGAGCTGACTCTGCTCTTGAAAAGCCTTGGACAGGCCTGGGGAAGAACTCCTGGTGGCTGCTGTCAAGCGTGCTGCTCCTCACGCTTGCAGAGAGCAGGGGTACTCTGAAATGATGGGGTTTTTCCCAAAGTGCTTGTCTGTCTTTTATGTTTGCCTCCTCAAGCAGAAGAACACTCTCTGCACTAATACACCACTGCAGCCTTTTCAGAAATACTGGCCTGGCCTTTGCCTGTCCATCTGCAGAGCCCCTCAGCTGACTTGTGGAAAGGACGAGCCCTGCTCCATTTCTTTGAGTATGTGCCCACATCACCCCAGCAACTCCCCTCAGCCCCAGCCTGCTCCTCATCTTCCTGTCTGGCCTGGATGCCAAAACCTGCCTCTTTGCTCCATGCAGATACTTTTTTTCCTTCTTAGTTCTTTCAGTGAGACATGATCCTTCTGTAGTTTCCACCATGGTGTCACAGTTGGATGTTGGACCCTGCTAGCTGAGAAGATTTTCTATCCAAGAAAACACTACCCATGCTACAGGACAAAAAAAAAAAAAAGGAGAAAAAATGTAGCAACTTCCACTCCCACTCTGGGAGATCTGTTTACAGCGAGTGTGGAGAGCCAGGCTTCATCTCCAGCTTGTTCCTGCACACCCAGATCGTGTTTGCGAGCCCAGAGCAGGTTGCATTTGGCATAAATCAGATGTCTAAAGCCAAGTATGGGCACACTGAACCCCTAAACAGACAGAACTGACAGTCTCTGACTTCAAGCCCATGCCCCTGCCAGTTTGGGATCCTTCTGAAAAGATTTCAGTTCCACGTTCCAGTGCATGAACTTGGAGGGAGAGAAATCCTTCCCACAAGCTTGCTTAGAAAATGAGATGCATCCCATAATGCACTTTCATTTTGTGCATGTAACAAAAAATTAATTAGCTGGCGTCTTTCTCTATTAATCTGCATATGACCAGTGAGTGATTTCTACAGAGCCCAGTGGGATAATCCCATTGCCAAGGTGCACCCTGCACAACACCTGGTAAATGAGTCACCAGAAACTGTTGGGGAGGACACTGATAGCATAGAAACCAAATTAAATATTTAGCTGCCTGCTGCTGGGGGAGTCTCACCATGCTGAGCCAGACCACTCTGTGGCACTCCTTCCAGAGGAACAGACAGGACCCACACAGCCTCTGTTTTGCCTCTGTCGTGACAAAGGAGAAGCACTGCAGCGATCGCTTGTGCTCTGAGGTTGATCACATCTGACTTTCTGCAACCACACTCAATGGACAGAGATGATGAGAGTGAATTCTGGTGCTCTTTGTGTCTCTCCAGCGCTGGGATGTTGATGAGCAGCGACAGTTGCACGACTGCTGTCCTTTTCCATGGTGAATATTGAGATGGAAGTGTAGAGACATGGTGGTACGTGCTGCTTCTTGCAGCCCTGTTCTGGGAGGCTTCTGCCCCTGAAGATCCTCACTGGATCACCAGAAATAAGAATTGTGTTGGAAGATGCCTGGACCAGCAGAGTATTTATGTGGATCCATAGACATATATATCAGTATATTTATCTGTATTTCTCCAAGTAAATGTAAAGATTGGTCATTTGCTTTGGGGAGGGAAGGTCAGAGTGCACACCTTACCTAACTGCACCAGTAACCAGGTCATACTGTGTTTACTCCACAAAACAATCTCTCTTCAGATCTGTGTCACACTCTAAATGCCACCAGAGCCAAACTGCCCCCGGTAACTCACATCACCCTGGTTCTGCCCTCCCTGATCTTTTCCCTGTGCAATCCCTTCACTTACCTAATGATACAGCACAAACCATGATCACACTCATAACCCTACAACATTTTTCTGGAGATCAGTGGGAAATCATCACCATTCATAAATTCAATAAAAACATAGCAGCCCACAAAGAGCTGAGAAATCAAAGAGTCTGTGTCTGAACAGTTTGTGAAGATGCTGTGGACAGCCCATGTACCTGTGCTGGCTACTGCTACCAGAGAGATGCCTGGAGAGCAGCACGTGCTGCTGCAAGGTGAGCACAGCACCTGGGCAGTGCTGTCAGCATGCTGGTGTCCTGGCTGAGGTAACCCACCACAGGGGACATCAGTGCTGGCAGCACAAAGCAGCATCCCCACCTCTCTGAGTTCTGTTTACACAGCCCCAGCCTCAATTGGCAGCAGCCACATTACCATGGCCAGCGGGAAGGTGGTTGTGTGCCAGGCTTCAGAAAAAAAAATGGCATTTCCCTGTCTTCAAAGCCACTGAGCTGTGTAGCCACCATGTTTGCAGATGCTCCCTCTTTAGGGAAGAGAGCTTTTAGAGCAATAACCTCTCATCTTGCATCAGTGTCATGTGGGACACTGAGCACCAAAAGGACAGCGGGACACCAAAGTGAAGAACAGTACATTTTGCTTTGAAGTTTCTGTAGCTGGTTATGGAGAGAAAATAGTTTTACTATAAAGTCCAGTCTGTCCAGATTTGTCAGTAGAAAATGTCCAGTGGGGTTTTAGTTATTTTGCACATTTAAGAACAGATGTGAAGCTGAATTTCTGTTATTCCTGCACATTTCTCAGCTATCCTTTGCCAGCAGAAATTTCATGTTTTATACCCCAATGCACTTCCTCTCCCACTGCTGTAGTCCTGAAGTATTTAAATCATAACTTTGTAAGTTCAGTTCACCGTAAAAATAAAATATATTATAGCGTCTCACACACAGAGTAATTATCCCAAAGGCTGTTCTGGTGTCTCTCTTAGTTTTTGTCATGCATGAGGTGGAGTCTTGGTGCTGATTTATTTTTTTTTTTTGTTCCAGCAGAAATCATGGTCATTCCCATTGTCCACTTCAGTTGAGTCAATGCTACTCTTTTAGAGGGTTGTCGCATAAACTAAATCAGTGACATGATTTGGGTTAAGAAGCAGCAAGCCAAAGGGGGAAAGCTTCATCTGTTAAATATATGTTCAAGCAGAGCAAATAGTTTACTCTTCTTGCCCATTTCAGAAGTAGAGTAACTTTCTGCTGGCTGGGGAGGTGAGATGCTGGGCTAGCTGTGCCGCAGCCCCAGGGCACAGGGGCTCCATGCTGAAGGTCACTGAGACCCCCAGGCAGGTCCTGGAACAGGGGCTGGTTCTGCTGATGTGGTAATGAGCCAGTGTCCCAGGACATGCCAGGATCTACCTCCCAGCTAACAAGGGATGAGCTGGAAGTCACCAACTCTAAAAAATCCACCAGTAACATAGTGTTGGGAAATGTGTCATCCCCAGTGAGGCAAATACAGAATACAGCCATGAAAATAGATGGCCCCAAAGGAACAGGGGCATCATGGGGCATTTTTGCTCCTTCCAATGTGCTCCATTTACAGACCACAACCTCGTGCTATATCCTCCATTCAGCTCCTTTCTTGGTGTATCACCAAGGGGTTCTGTGTCTGACCGTGCTGCCAGCCACTGCCACAGCAGTGCCTTTGTAGTGCCTCTTTCTTCCCCCTGATCTAAGATCCTCTTCAAGCATTGCCAGCTACATGATCCCACTGTCATGAAAAAACCAACAAAAAGAAGTATTTTTCAGCAGCCAGGAAGTTGGCATATTTCTAGCTACAACAAAGAAAGTGGCCATAGCCTGTTTTGTACAGATTACTTCCTTTAGTTAGGCCAAAAAATGTGACTACTTCAAAGCTGATTTATGTTTCTAACTGAAGTCCAGAATCTTAATCTCTCTTACAGTTTCCCCTGTCTGAGCTGTGCTTGGCTGTGTGCAGAGCAAGGAATTAGGGTTAGAGGTGGAAGTCCGAAGGAAGAAGGATCAATTGTTCCTATTGAAAAAGTAAACAGCAGCAAGTGCCTAATTGTGTCTGTATTTTCTAATCAAGTGGATTTTTCAGACAGTTGCAAAGAGCCCTCAGTGTGTGCAAGCAGCATAGACTGAAATTAAATTAATCAATCCATGTCCTCCTCCTGTCTCAAGGTGCTTGCTTTTCTTGTCATTGGTCCAGGGCAAGGACAAGCTCCTCCAGTGCTCAGGCCTCTGCACAGGACAGAACAGCAAAAATCCCAGAATGGTGGTATCCAGACCCAAACTGGGACAGGTCTTGAGAAACATCTGGATATCTCACTGGGTCACCTTCTGAGTGCAGCAGGGCAAGGGTCAGCCCTGAAACCCAAGCCCTGCTCCCACAGCTGCCACCAACATCAAAGGGCCACAGCACAGGCTTCTGATCCCCCACAGCCCTTGGACACTGCAGGAGGAAAATATGCTCATGTGAAAAACAGCCCTTTGGTGAACACATGAGGTCCTGATATCTTGTTTCCAACGGGTTTGTGTTTTGTGTTTGTCCTGGGAAAGTGTGGTCTCCTATGCTGTAAATTTCAGAACAGCAGCGCTTCACCCAAAGCAAGGAAAAAGAGAGTTTTCCAAAAATCACTTGATTTTCAGCATCAGCCATGCTCCATGTGCATTGGTTCTGATGCTAACCAGGCTTTATGAGGATGTTTGGAAAATCACACAGCTTTGCACCACACATCACAGCGTGGTACTCTCCTGTCTGCAGCAGCCAAGTACCAAGGAAAGCATCAACCCTTTGGGACAAGCTCATATCCCCAGTAAAGTCACAGCCTAAGCCCCTGGATGCCCACATGTTTGCATGTCTTTCTGTCACCCCAGACTACCCAGGAGTTTCCCTTTCAGCAGGATTTAAACTCTCCCTCCTTGGCCTCCTGGAAGTCTGCTCTTTATTTTAGCCCTAGCATGCATCCTTCAGAAACAAATCTTCAAGCGCTCAAAGGCCAAACTTGGTTCTGTTTTAATCTGATTTTTACCAGGCTACCCATGAGACTCTGCTACCCATGCCAGCCCTTGGCTTTGTCCCCTCGTGAAGATGCTGAAGGATGCATTTCCCCACAAAGACAAGGATGTTTGATGCTCTGGAATTGAACTGAGCTGTCATGCTAATGAGTGATGCTCCTGTGCTTAAAATGGCCTTGGATTGTGAGATGAAGAACTGGATGAGTTTCCAGAGACTTGCTGTCCTGTATGTCATGCAGATGATTCCCCCCCACACCCCCCTTTCCTATTTTTTTTCCCCAAGATTTCATGTTTTTTCATTTTCATGTTTTGACAAACAAATGTAACCAGGATGCTGAAGGGATTAACCAGGATGGAAAAGACTTTCTTGACTTGGTGATTTGGGCTGTTAATCTTTGGTCTGCATTTCTTGGAGTCACTGGAAGGCTGCAGTGTTCCTGTGTGGGATGTAATGGGTATCATATAAACCCAGGCTGCTACACTGCAGGTTAACTGTGAGCAGAGCAGAGATGAAGAAAGGAATTTAGCGTGGGCCAGAGGCACACCCTCTGTTTTGGCAAGAAGCAGTTCACATTCTTACTCTGATTTACACTAGTTTATAGAGAAGGCTGAACTGAGTTCTTGAAGCATGTGGTAGTATTTAAGTGTATAAAACTTGGAATCAGCTTCAAGTACTGCATGTGGAGAGATCAAAGCTATTAAACTATATATTTTGTGTAGGAAACATGTATGATGAAGAAATAAATTCATCTCAGTAATAGCCAACAGGGAGAACTCTTTGAAAACAAAGGCTGGTGTGGTGTCAACCTTCTGCTTACGTGTTTTGCAGGGAGATTGATTATTAGAGCTCCCATTTTAGCCTAAACTCTGCTTGTTTAAAGGCTTGCATACTTTGCACAAAGCCACTCAGGCTGAGGCCAGGGCATGTGCAGTGACAGAGCTGGGCTCTCCAGGCTCGTGGTGCCGGGGCAGCAGCTCTGCCTCCCTGGCCAGGGGAGGGATGGGGGCTGCACCTTTCTTCTCGGTTACATGGGAAATATTCCCCTCCTGGTGCAGTCAGGCTGCTATAACTTGCTTCTGGCCACGTTTTTCCAACAGTGAAAGAGGGAGAAAAAAGTCTTTGCTTGGCTTTTTTTGGAGGCACAACTTATTGTTAGTCAGTGCAGATCAAGAGGAACCAAGGATGAACTGCAATGCCTGTTCAAGAGGCAACCCTTGGCACTGATGCTGACCCTCAAGCCATCACCAGGGAGGGTCCTTTGCCACTGACAATGGCAGCCCTTTCCTCCACCATCTTCTTCTGAGACCTCCTCTCTTCCCCTCCCTGCTTGCTTTCCCTCACCTAGTGCAGTTCACCTTTCATGTTCTGGTTATTTGTCTGAAGCCTGCTCTCCAGGGCTGCCTCACGTGGCTATTTTAGTCATTTCCTCCAGCAAGTTCCTGCAATTGTTGGGCTGGAATTGTGTGAGTCACCCACCACACTTCCTCCCATGCTCCCTCCCAGATGGGAAAAGCCTCCTCCTGGCTAGTTTTCCTTTGTTAACCAAGGCATCCTGAAGCAATTCCACCTTTAACAGCACAAAGGCCTCGATTGACTGTGGCAGCCAGGTGCTTTGCAGGACCAGAGCAGAGACACCATCAGAGCAGAGGACACCACTGAGCTGCCTGGCAAGTGGTGCAGACAGGGGAAACCAGCTGGGCTGATCTGCCCCTTCCTTTTCTTCCTGCAGGTCCATGTGCTCACTCTGTCCCTGGGGTTTTTGACGGGGAATGAAGCCAGATTTCAACCAGAGAGAGACCCAGACCTGGGCTTTGCTCCTGCAAAGTGATTTTCCTCGTGGCCTTTCCTGCCTGGAGAACACTTGTACCTTGCATCCAGCATCTGCTAGCCCTAGCACCAGCAAAAAAGCCCACACCACACTGTCAGCTTTAGTAGACACGAGGCACAACAAGCTCTGCTGCCTAAAGCCACAAGTGCCTGTAAGCAGAGCCCTTTGGTGACAGCAATGCTGGTGCTGACTGTCACCACTCTGTGATGGAGAGCAGGGCTGGCTGGAGCCATCCCAGCACGCTATGTGTGTGCAGGGCAGTAGGAGGCTGCCCTGTGCATCTGGGCACCACATGGCCCTGGGAAATCGCAGCTCACACCTGGCCACACGTCAGCTTGGCTTCCCAGCAAACGAGCTGCTAGCATGTGAAATATCTCAAGTGTATGCAGGGCAGGTATCTAAATACACGTGATAGGCATGTGTGTAAAATCTGCAGGAAACAGCCCAGAAAGGTTTTCTCACATTGCCATGTTTCTTTTTGCCTGTTTGTTTTGCTTTTGACTGTTTGTATGTTGTCATAGAAAATAAAATTGCATTTTTTCACCCTTGAGTACCAGACTGGTATGGCATTAACATTTCTGTTCCTGTAAGAGTGGCAATCATTGGCAAGTTTGAGCCTAACAACTCCTTCTGTTTATTTGATGGAGATATAATGTTTTTCCTGCTTGTGCAATGCTGGACAGACTAATCCTCAGGGATGCCTCTTGCATGGGTACACTCACTTTGTTCTGCCATGCCCTGAGTGTGGGTGAGGTGCAGCAAAGAGAACCCTTCGGAGTAAGCCCATGCCTGCCCCTGGGTGGGTGCTGAGCCCCACAACAGCCAGGCAGGAGACAGCTCTCCAGGTGAATGCTTTTCTGAAGCTGTCCCTGGAAGACCAGGGGCCATATGGGTTTTACACAGTTCCTCCACAGTTCTTTATACAAGAAGAAATCTGGAATATCTCCCCAGTTAGTACCTGAGGACATTGGCTCAGCTGATGTTTTTTGTACTGCTTGTTTTCAGTGACACATTTCCCACTGAGTAGGTACTAAAATCATCACCCAGTTGCAGGGGATAATTGTAATTTCTACAGGAGGGAT